AATTTGTTAATTCGTCTTTATAAACTTATTTTGAACACATATTACTTGTGCAATTTCAAATCATATTTATTACATTGTTTTAATGCAAGTTACCTTAATGTTTCTAATTTGTAAATTCGTTTTAAAAAAACTTACCTTATTTTGAATATGATTTAATTGCACAAGTTTATAACATATTAATTGTAAATCATTTAATTAAAATATAACTTTAATATCTTTCTTTGAACTGTTTCATTATTTATTATAAAATTATATTCCTAAACATCATTTGTTATGAAAATATCTCCCTAATAATATAAGAAAAAAGGAAGGTAGAGTATATATAAAGGAGACACCTAAGAGATGTTAATACTAACTTAATCTCTATTTTTATTCGATGTAAAAATTTAAATTTATAAATTCTAGAGAGAGAGAGAAAGAGGGAGGGAAAGAGAGAGAGGGAGGGAGGGAGAGAGAGAGAGAGTGAGCTAGGGAGAGGGAGGGCGAGAGAGAGAGAGGGAGAGGGAGAGAGAGAGGGAGAGAGAGAGAGAGAGAGAGAGAGAGAGAGAGAGAGAGAGAGAGCAAAAGAGAGAGAGCAAAAGAGAGAGAGAGCGAGCAAAAGAGAGAGAGCGAGAGGGATATGTGTAACATTTCTTTTAATCTGTCTACATACATTTTACGAAAAATTTATGCATAGTAATATTTTTCACCTAAAATAAAGAATTACAACACATATACAATACAATTCTAATTAGTGATAATAGAAAATATGTTACTTATAAAACTACACACTATTAATTTCAGATTTGAAAAATAAAATTCAACCTTCAACACACAAATTTTTTTTGTGATGTTGCAATTATAAATACACACAATAACTACCTATTGATACTGAAGTTACTTTGTTCCATCACCTCCATGTAAAATATTGTGTACCATCATTTTTCTGTGTCTGATGCTTTACCTCAAAGACGGTGGTCTTATGATATAAAACCTACTAGGTGGACGGCCCGCACGCCTGTGCGGACATTAATATAATCTATACATTGCATGAATAAAAAATAATATAAATGTATAAATATATTGTAACTTTATTTCTCTTTTACATAGATACTCTGTTTTTAATATATTTTTCTATCTTACTCATCTCGTTTTGTCCTTATATTTTTTCACACATTCGTTTTGTTTCTTATGTATCTCTTTTTGCATTATTTTTATATGTCTTTGTACACCTTTCTCGCTCTCTTTTTCTTTCTCTCTCTCTTAGTTGATCAAATAATTTCAAAATCTCTCAAACTTACATTCACTCTCTCACAATCACCTATATTCATTCTCTTACCCTTGTCCTTAATATGATCCTCAATATTTCACTTTAAAACTCTTTATATCTCTCTTTGGTTGTAAAATTTTCACCAGATTTTGTTAAATCTTTAAAACACTTTCACATAGTATTAATAAATGATTTCAGAATCTATCTCACTTATATCCAGTCTCTCACTTATATTTACTTTCATCTTCATTATGATCATAACCGACTCTCTAATCCTTATCATCACCATATCTCCCTCTCTTTCTCCCTTTCTAACATATTTTTTTATTTAGAATTTAATATAAAATCACAATTGGCTAACCAAAAAAATTCATTATCAAATTATCTCCAATCTTCACACTATCTTATCGAACATTGATTCATTTGACCAAGATTTTCATTGAAAAATAAATATCTTATTATTATTTTTTTTTAATTACTTCATTACATACATATTTTAAGTAAATATAAATAACTGTATTTCAAAAAAGTAATTTCTATTAAATAATTATATAACATAAAATATCTTAATTCTTAAATGATGTGATGTCATTATTTTAGACATAGATTAATATAAACATGAGATTCAACAGTTTTAATATATCAAAATAACATGTCTCTAGTTGTATAAATTTTGTTATAACTTTGTTATCATATATTTTAAAAGTTTATTACACTGCAAAAAATACTTATCATTATTTTAAAATTTTATTTGTGTTATATTTTGCATCTTCAACATTAAATTTTTTATAACTTATCATTTATATTTATCTTCCTTTCTCAATTTTTCTTTATGTTGTATAAACACCTAAAAATAATTAGTTTACAATTATATTAATACGTAAAATATATTTTGGTATACAAATAAAAAAATTATGTATGTACAAATACCAAATAACGAAGAATACACAAAAGGTTTTATTATTATTCACTCATGTTTTTATTTATGTCTCTTTTCTTTTTTTTTCTTATTAAAAATAAACATGCCAATTTTATTATACCTAAAGCTATATGAATTATATGAATAGAATATTAACTCTAGTCTTGTATTAATATAATGTTTTGATTTTTTGTAATTTTATATTATAATAATTTTTTTCATTTATTCATATTTTTTAAAATGAAATACCATATAATTTTCTGTTTTAACTATAAAAATACTTAAATAATTTTTGAAAGTGATAACTCAACTATACTATCGACATTTATCTCTGGAAAATGATAGAATATTTTTAAAATTTTACATTTGACTGTTTGCATTCATTGAACATATTTTAAGAATACATATATATAGTGAGTTCGTATATAAATATTATTAGTTTTCTGTAATGTATGATTTTTTATCCACTATTAATAGAAAAAATTTAAAATCGTTTATATACTTATTTCTATAATATAATATGTATTTATATGTATATTGTATATTTTTATAATGGAATATGTGATATTTAATTGTTTTGATAAACAAATTATATTAATCCTATGTATTTAAGATGATTAATTGTTTGTTTGGTAATATATATTAGATTGGGTAATTTTAGGATTAGTTTCCTTTTAAAAAACTTTAATTAAATAAATAAAAATTCAAATTCCAACAACCAATCAAATTAAGAGAATTAATTCTACATTGCACCTATGAATGACACGTAAGCAAAATTCATTAAAGTGACTTCTCTTTTAATATATAGGGGGATTACTTCTAAAACTTTGTATTATTAAGTCTATAATTTAAATATGTATATATCCGCACATGGTGCGGGCCGGTCACCTAGTAAATCTTATTCTGTAAGAAACTTAGAAAATAAATAGGAAACTCAGGGTGTGACTGGTAACCATAATAGGAACAGCAGGAATGAACAGGAAAGGAATGAGTAGGAATAAAATTTTAGGAAGGAAGAGGAATAATAATTCCTTATCAAAATCAATAAGGAATGAAGTTGTTCTATAATTCTCTACAACCAAAGGAATGAGCAGGAATGTGAAAAACAATCTATTCCTCATGAATGGTGAATTTTTTAAGGAATGATAAGTAACGTAGTGTTCCTCTTCATTCCCTTGGTCACCATTTACACCCTCAGTCTCTTCATAATTTTTACGTTTTCGATCTTTTGCTAAGATCAAGTGCAGTATCTATCATTATTAGTTTAATATCAGATATTTGGATCATCGACTTATTCGACATTATTTTTTTAATGGGAAAACCCATTAAATAATTTGCTATTTGGGTCTATAGCTCCGAAGGGATTGTATTCCGTCTCGGCTCTGGGTTCCGGCATGACTGTTTGTCCTCGCTGGCTTGTGTATCTCCTATTCTGTTAAGATAATCGAACAAATGATAAAAAATAAATTGTTATTTGGGGTTTGAGCTAATTTATCAATGAGCCAGTAACAGATGATAGAAAGAAATTGTTATTTGGGGTTTTCTTCATTTAAAGACCACCTTTTGGGTAAATTGGATCGGTTGAATATAGTTTCCAGCCCTATAGTTTAAGGGGGTCAATATAATTAAGTAATGCGCTTTATGTTAATTTTGAGCAAATGTTATGGGGGTCAATGTATTGGTTTTACAACATTTCAGTAGTTTTCTCATCAGAAATACAAGTAAATTTTTTTGTGGCAAAAATTCATAGGGGTCAAATGACCCCCCTCCTTACATGCTGCTTCCGCCACTGGTTGCTATTAAACGACTTTTTTGGATTTGTGTTTTAGTTATTTGCTTAGAACATGCCTATAGAGAATTTTTAAGAGGGATTCACACGTTTTCGAAATAAAAAGTGGTAAATCTGCATCGTCAGAGCTTGTTGTGGTGAACCCGTATCGTCACGGATTCGTCACGTGGTGGACCATGATTCACCCAATTTTTTTTTTTTTTTTTTTTTTTAAATCAAACGGAAAAAAGAAAAAAATTTTAAAACTATCATAGGAACTCGTGTCCATCGATTTCGCTGATAGGCATGCTCTTGGTTATTAGTTTTACATCAGTTCTACATGTGCGTCGGCTTAACGGTTAGATTCCGTCGTCATGGCTGTTGGGCTTTTCGTTTGGGTCGAAGAGAATATGATGCCAAATTTCGTCCGGCCCAAACCCATCTTAAAATTATGTCCACATCTCTACTTTATGTTGCTATCAAAATCATATGTTATTTTCGACAAAAAGAAAATACTGTATAGATAGATTTTTTTAACTAAATTAAACATCATATAAAGAGAAACACGTGATGTGAACACTAGGAATACCGCCTCTGGGATATGGAGACTTGGCTCTCTTCCTACCAAGTGAAAGTTCAATAAACTTGTTTTGCAGAAATGTAAGTAGAGGAACCTTGCACGTATGTAAATTATAATAAAATCCAAGAAGTCCCTATTATTGGTTTATAAATTTCTACTTGATACTCTTTGAGATACAAGTGGTGGAAAAATTGAAGATGGAAACAAAATCCCTTATTTCTTGACCAAAAAAAAAAGATCCCTTTTCAAGACTTAACTTAATCAAATCAGTTTACAGATGTAAACAACACTGATTAGCCATTTATTAGTGACGTTTTTCAGTTGATTAAAACTGTTTAGTCAAACAATTTGTTGTTTCTAATTATTTTTTTGTTAAAACTTATTCAAATACATCATTATCTTGTGTAAGATTTGCATTATATTACTTTAGTCGCATGGTTTAGCATCAGATTTGTTTCTTAAAGAATCTAATCATTCAACCAATTAAATTATAAACACATAAAAGAATGTACTTTTCACATGTACCGTTCCAATTATTATTATTATTGTTTTTCAAAAAAAGAAATATAAAAGTTGTCTTCTCCGCGCACTATGTCTTGGCTCTTAGTATTGGACGAGTTTGTCGTCTCCTCATTTTCAACAAAACATAAAAACGGAGAGAACTCTTTCGAGCAGACTCAACCCATCTCTCCAATGGCAGCTACAGTACTTGGCTCCGTCTTCGGTATCTCTCTCGCTTCGTCTTCCTCAACAGAAAGAGTCAAACGTACGAAGTCAAACCTAACGCAGGCTATCAAATCCGTAACACCAAAGAGTCACAGAGATGTTCAAAGAATCCACAAGAAGAAAGATGAAGATGGAGCGAAGGTGGCTAAGTTGGTGGAGAGTCCGTATTCGAAAGTGGAGGCGGCGCGTCCAGATTTGAAGAAGAGGTTGTCGGATTTTTTGGAGGAAGTGAGAGATTTGGTCGGAGATGGTGATAATGGTCCGCCACGTTGGTTCTCACCGTTGGAGTGTAGTGCTCAAGCTTCAGGCTCTCCTCTTCTTCTTTACATACCAGGTTCGTTCTTTTGTTAAAACTCTTCTTGTTTTTTTTTTTTAACTGTAGTAGTAGATCTTGGACAAGAACTGTAAAAAAAAAGAGAAAAACGAGGATGTGTTTTTGCTATTTTAAAACATCTTTACATTGGTTAAGGAGAGGTGTGCAATGATAGACGTGGATGGTGGGATTTGGTTTTTGGCGTTGACCCACATAATGTGGTGATCCTCACCAAACCAGTCAAATCAAATCCTTATAATTATTATTAAAAAAATACTTATAATTATTGGCAACATAACTGAACCTTATTATGGGTGATAGTGATACCAATGATTTCTCAGTTTTGCCCATATCATCTAATTATTCAAATTTTGGTGTCCCATGAAATCTAGCTATTATTTGGATACTCACAATGATAATATTTCATAAAAACACATTTACTATCTGTAATTTTAAGTTTTTAAAAAAAGAAATAATATATACAGATAATTATTTAATACGTATATATTAAAAACATATATATTTAAAATTCTAGGAATTGTAATTTGCTTCATTGTTAATCAATAATAAAATTATAATATTTGTTTACTTCATAGAGTTGAGGTAAATTTTTGCGATCGAACAAAAACAAATAATGAAATAAATATTTTTGCTCAATTCCTAGTTTATACTATATGTTAAGACTTAACTGAGAAACTAGCTAGAAACCTTGCAGGTATGGATGGTACTGGACTTGGGCTCATCAGACACCACAAGAAACTCGGGGAGTGAGTATTTTTTTTTTTTTTTTTTTTGGTCAAACTCGGGGAGTGAGTATATTTATCAGATTCTTCTTTATATTCTTCTTTCATTTTTCTTTTGAAGTTTGCAACTTTGCATTATTTTTTTTCTTTCTCCATTTTTGCAACATTCATGCTCATGTTTCTAGAACCCCACAGTTGAAAAAAATGAAATTAGAAAGAGATAAGCCTAAACTGAGACCAAGAAGTTACGCATTGCTGATATTTTGTTGCGTTTTGAGTAGGATTTTTGATGTATGGTGCCTTCACATTCCAGTCAGGGATCGTACCCCTGCTAAAGGTACCTTCTCTTACTCCTTACTTTGTCTAACCAAGAAGTTTAGCTTATTGTGGATTGAACCCTTTTTGTTTTTTGTGTATCAGACTTGGTGAAACTTATTGAGAAGACAGTTAAGTCAGAGAACCATCGTTTCCCAAACAGACCTATATATTTAGTTGGTGAATCTATTGGAGCGTGTCTCGCCTTAGATGTTGCAGCTAGGAATCCCAACATCGATCTTGCTCTCATCTTGGCTAATCCAGGTAAGATATCTCCATCGGTAAATGTTATCAAACACGTATATTGTATGTTTTTGCTCATCGTAGATATTGTCTGTTGCAGCCACACATGTCAACAACCTTATGTCACAGCCTCTATCAGGAATACTTAATGTTTTACCAGATGGAGTTCCAACAATATTGGAAGAAATATTTGGTTTTAAACAAGGTAGCACTTTCTTTTTTCTCTTGTCATCTTCTATCTTGACTTCTTGTAGTTGATGTTCACTCCATTGTCTCCAAGCGAATCAAAACACACTAACATATAACCAGAATGTGGTTTCTTTATTACCCAGGAGATCCATTGACTACAATGTTAGACGCTCTGACGAACGAATTTTCTGTCCAACAAATGGGTGGAGGGATACTAAGAGATATCCTTGCAGTTTCAACTAATCTTCCTGTAATCATATTCCTAGTTAGAGAAACTCATGATCTATACATGTTTCAGTTAATAGTAAATGCATATACAATTTTTCATCATCTCAAAATAACATTTGCAGACTTTGAGTAGGATCTTCCCAAAGGACACACTTCTTTGGAAGCTGGAACTGCTTAAGTCTGCTGTTGCATCTGCCAATTCTCACATACACGCGGTCAGAGCTGAAACACTGATACTTCTGAGGTATCTAATACTGAATTTCTTTAACTTCCAAAGACTTGTTCTAGCTTTTTGAGTTTAGTTGTTATACGTGAATATCTGGTTATATATGGCCATTGCAGTGGACGTGATCAGTGGCTGCTGAACGTGGAAGACATTGACAAACTCGCACTCACAATACCAAATTGTATTGTCCGCAAGATGAAAGACAATGGACAGTTTCTGTTTTTCGTAAGTGATCTCTCTTTATACACTTAGGGTCAAATATATTGATACTAACTATATCTTTTTACTATGTGCTATGTTAGGAGGACGGTGTAGATCTTGTTACTATCATCAAGTGTACATGTTTTTATCGCCGTGGGAAGTCTCATGATCACCTTTCAGATTACATTATGCCTACCCTATTTGAGTTCAAACAACAATTAGACGACCACAGGTAAAAATGCCTCAAGTGATAAGAGGTTGTAACGAATACTGAATGATCATTTTTTGACACGGTGCAGATTGCTAATAGATGCTACTTCACCTGTAATGTTATCAACTCTAGAAAACGGCAAAGTTGTAAGGAGCCTTGAAGGTATACCTTCGGAAGGACCTGTTCTGTACGTTGGGTATCACATGTTATTGGGATTTGAGTTAGCTCCAATGGTAACTCAATTCTTGAAAGAGAGAAACATTCACTTGCGTGGTTTGGCACATCCTATGCTTTTTGTAAACAACCAAGATGCGTTAGTGGACACACAGATGTTTGACAAATATAAAATAATGGGTGGAGTTCCTGTCTCCAACTTCAATATCTACAAGTTAATGCGTTCAAAGTCTCATATCCTTTTGTACCCTGGTGGTGTCCGTGAAGCTTTGCATAGAAAGGTATTCAATCTTTAACGGTTATTACATTCTTGAGAGATTATATTTAAGAGGGCTTAACATATACAGAGAGACTTTGCAGGGTGAAGCGTACAAGTTGTTTTGGCCAGAGCAACCTGAGTTTGTGAGAGTTGCATCTAAATTTGGAGCTAAAATAGTCCCATTTGGTGTTGTTGGAGAAGATGACATCTTTGATGTAAGCTTTTTTCTACTCAGTTGTCTCTGTATTGAAAATGGTTTGATAAACTCTATAGATAATAGTCTCTACTTTATATCCAAACGAATCTTGGGTTGTCAAGTTATTAACTATGGTTAAAACAATGGATGATGACTTTTCAGATTGTCCTGGATGGTGATGATCAAAAGAACATTCCTATCCTAAAGGATTTGATGGAAGAGGCAACAAAGCAAGCTGGCAACTTAAGGTGTTTCATTTTAATCTACATATATGTTTTCACAATCATGTAGAAGTAAAAACTAATATGAACATTGGTTTTGAACTGTTGTAAATTACTAGGGAAGGTGATGAGAGTGAGTTAGGAAACCAAGATTGCTATTTCCCTGGACTTTTACCTAAGGTTCCTGGGAGGTTCTATTACTATTTTGGGAAACCAATAGAAACAGCAGGCAAGGAAAAAGAGCTGAAAGACAAAGAGAAGGCTCAGGAGCTTTACTTGCAAGTCAAGTCAGAGGTAGAAGAGTGTATTGCCTATTTGAAAATGAAAAGAGAGAGTGATCCCTACAGAAACTTGTTGCCAAGGGTATTGTATCAAGCTTCACATGGTTTCTCTTCTGAAATTCCAACGTTTGATCTTTAAAATTCTCCTTTTCATCAATTGTTTACATTATAACATTTAATTATGCTATCTATAGGTAATGATTGTTTTAAGGGATCTTTAATTATTTTCATGAATTATTAAAGTCTTCTTCATATGAAACTTGTGAGATTAGTTTCCGCCATAATTTAAGGTGCACACAATGTTCATGCGTCCATTAAAGTAGTTAAAGATTTTACCAAAACACTTTTTTTTTTGTTCTTGAAGCATTTCATTTCTCAATATGTAAACAAAACAAACATTTTGAGAAATTAACAAGACTGTCTTGAGATTATTATTACGATGAAAATACTTGGCTCCATCTACGGTCTCTCTCCAGTAACATCTCACCCAAGAGAAACATTATGCAACGTTGGTATCTGCTGTTCTAGACAGAGGTCACAGAGCTCTGCCTCAAAGTATAATAAACTCAGGGCGGTTAGAACCGTGTCATCGACGAATCATGGAGGTATTAGAGGAAGACGGAAGAAGCAGGATGAAACGGTAGCTAAGGTGGGTGAGAGTCCGTATGCGAATGTGGAAGAGGAGCTGCCTGACTCTAGGAAGAGTTTGTTAGACTTTTTGGAAGAAGTGAGAGGTTTTGTTGGAGGAGAAGGTCCACCTCGTTGGTTCTCTCCATTGGAGAGTGCTGCTCAGGCTCAACGCTCTCCTCTCCTCCTTTTTATACCTGGTTCGTCTTCTTTATTGGCCTTTTTTTCTCCATGCAACTCTGAAAAGGACAAAAGATTTTTTTTTTATGTTGCAGGTATGGATGGTACTGGACTAGGGCTCATTCGCCAACACAAGAAACTTGGGGAGTACGTAATTTTAAATTCTTGTTTATCCTTTTTTCATGTCGTTAGAAGTTTGATTTATTATTATTAGTTTTTCTTAGCAATAATCTTTCTGCGAAAAAAAGAAAGAAAAGCTTAAACTGAAAACAAGAATATGGTTAATTAATTTCTCTGTTTTTGAATTATTGACATGCAATGAATCTTCAATTTCTGATGTGGTTGTTCCTTTTGAGTAGTCTATTTGATATATGGTGCCTTCATATACCAGCCAGGGATCGTACTTCTTCTAAAGGTACCCATTTTGTCTATCAAATATTGTTATCTAGCCAAGAAGATAGCTCAATGTGGATTGATGACTTTTGTTTGTGTGTCATACAGACTTGGTGAAGCTTATTGAGAAGACAGTTAAGTCAGAGAACCACCTTTGCCCCAATAGACCTATATATTTAGTTGGTGAGTCTATTGGAGCGTGTCTTGCCTTAGATGTTGCAGCCAGGAATCCCAACATCGATCTTGCTCTCATCTTGGCTAATCCAGGTATCGGTCTGTGAGATTCTCTTATATTGTTGGTAAGTACATCTTTGGTTATGGTATTCAACGTTTGTTGCAGCCACACAAGTCATGTCGCAGCCTCTATCAGGAATGCTTAACGTTTTACCAGATGGAATCCCCACGATACTTGAAGATGTATTTGGTTTCAAGCAAGGTAGTACACTTACTTAGCTGTTCTATTCTCTTTTTTTTTTTTTAAATCTTAACTTCATGTAATTGATGTTTCTCAATTTATGTTCAGTTCTAGCAAACTTTTACTTAGTTGAAACATAACTTTTAATTACGCAGGCGGTCCATTGACTGAAACGTTAGACGCATTTTCAAATGAATTTGCTATCCATCAAATCGGTGGAATGATGCTAAGAGATTTGTTTGCAGTTTCAGCTAATCTTCCTGTAAGATCACATTGTTTGAAACTCATGATCTATGCATAGTGTTCATCTAGTCATGTGATCAACATAACAAAACAATATTTTCAGACTTTAAGTAGGATCTTCTCTAAGGACACACTTCTTTGGAAGCTGGAAATGCTCAAGTCTGCTATTACATCTGCCAATTCTCATATACACAAAGTCAGAGCTGATACACTGATACTCTTGAGGTCAAATACTGAATCTCTTCTACTTGCAAAGAGATGTCCTAACTAATTAAGAGCTTAGGTCTAATATGTGAGTATTTGGTTATTACCAATGCAGTGGACACGATCAATGGCTGCTGAACATGGAAGACATCAACAGATTCTCACAAACATTACCAAACTGTAGCGTCCGTAAGTTCAACGACAGTGGACCATTTCTCCTTTTGGTAAGTGATATAGATTCTAGTTTTCAGTAAGTGCTTGCATTTGAGAGTACAAATATTCATAAACTATCTCTCTTTTACATCTCATGTTATAGGAGGATGAGGTAGATCTTGTTACCATCCTCAAGTGTACATGTTTTTATCGCCGTGGGAAGTCTCATGATTACATCTCAGATTACATTATGCCTACCCCATATGAGTTAAAAAAACAGCTAGAGGAACACAGGTAACATGCCTCACTAGTTTCTTCTCTCTATATATCTTTTAAGTAAAAATTTATAGCAAATAGTACTGAATGATAGTTGTTACTTTGCAGATTTCTAATGTATGCTACTTCACCTGTAATGCTATCAACTCTTGAAAACGGTAAAGTTGTAAGGGGCCTAGAAGGGCTACCGTCAGAGGGACCTGTTCTATACGTTGGCTATCACATGATAATGGGATTTGAGTTACCTCCAATGATAGCTCAGCTCTTGAAAGAGAGGAACATTCACTTGCGTGGGTTGACACATCCGATTATTTTCATGAACAAGTCGATAGTACACGACATAATCGACCCTCAGATATTTGAAAAATATAAGATAACGGGTGGAGTTCCTGTCTCCCATAGCAATATCTACAAGTTGCTTCGTTCAAAGTCTCATGTGCTTTTGTATCCTGGTGGTGTCCGTGAAGCTCTCCATAGAAAGGTTAACATGGAAATATAATAGTTTGTAATCTTTTTTTTTTTATGTATTCTTGGAGTTTATGTTATTAAGATGGTTACATGTACAGGGTGAAGAGTATAAGTTGTTCTGGCCAGAGCAACCTGAGTTTGTGAGAGTTGCATCTAAATTTGGAGCTACTATTATCCCTTTTGGTGTTGTTGGAGAAGACGACATCTGCAAGGTAAGCTTTCTCTACTCAATCTATCTGATCTTGAGTTTCATATTCATAAGCTCCACTCAATTCTACTTGTTAGCAAATCATGCAGGATATGAGTCCTTACAAGTTGGTCTTGTTTTTAAAAGCCGCACACTAAACTTTGCAAAATGCTAAACAACTTAGAGGGAAAACTAGATTGAAGAAATTTATGTTTTGAAGAAATCCACATATTAGATTTGTTGTTTTAGTTGATTAGCTCTCAAGTGCTGATAATAGTGCCCTACTTTGTATTCACCCGAACCTCGGTTTTAAACTAACTTTGGATGATTCTCAGGTTGTTCTAGATTCCAATGATCAAAGGAAAATACCTATATTGAAGGATTTAATGGAAAGGGCAACAAAGGAAGCTGGCAACTTAAGGTGTTGTTTCATCACTCCACTATATATTGTTTTCTTATGTATACTATTCACGTAATAGCTTATATATATGACCACTGGTTTTGAGCTGTCATAACTTTCAGGGAAGGCCACGAGAGCGAATTGAGAAACCAAGAATTCCATTTACCAGGACTAATGCCTAAGATTCCAGGGCGGTTCTATTATTACTTTGGAAAACCAATAGAAACCGCAGGTAAATTAAACCAGTGTGGCTTTAGATATACTCTAGATCACTGATCTGAGTACTTGCAATGCCTTTGTTTTCTTTCTTTCTTGGCAGGTAAGGAACAAGAGCTAAAAGACAAAGAAAAGGCCCAAGAGTTTTACTTGCAAGTCAAGTCAGAGGTAGAACAATGCATTGCTTATTTAAAAATGAAAAGGGAGAGTGATCCCTACAGAAACTTGCTGGCAAGGATGTTGTATCAAGCATCACATGGTTTCTCTTCTGAAATTCCAACGTTTGATCCATGAAATTATCATCTCTCTGATCATTTACACAACTTTGTAAGTTATTTTGTAGATAATAAATGTATTGAACAACAAATTGTTTTCAAAATTAGCATACATAAAATAATAAGAGCAAAATAAAACTTTTTGTAGTCCTTAATAATAATTATTCTCTTGTATTGATTAATAAAGAATAAACAATTACAAACTTTGATTTAGTGTATAAGCTTGTCTCTTAATTAGTAGACCCAATCAAACACCTTATGCATATGGACCTCACCTTGCATATGTTTACCTCCCCACACTTTTAAATAGATACCATTTTCTCTGGCTCTCCAATCCCACAAGCCTCCCCTATCACTGGGGCTTACCTGTTTGAATGCTGTAAAGCTCCGAGTGTGTCTATAATTAGGTCCTTGTCTCAACGTACACATGAAACGCGTTGTCCCCCATACATTGGTGTTGAATCTTCTTTCATATCGTGCTCCTGGTTCTATTATCTCTGTCTTCATTCGGTTGTCTTTGGAGTAGCAGGTTACAGAGAGCTTTTTCTTGAATTTGAGTTCGTTTGAAATCCTGATGCTGCCGTATACATGGCTAATCATGCAGAAGCTAACCACACATAGAAAGATTGAGAGATTTTTCATATTTGTTTTTTGGATACAGATGATGTTTACTTCTTTTTGTGGTTTAGATTATATATACACATCTATATTTCTATATATAGTAATTTGGTTTATAAATACTGTTGTAGAGAGACAAATGTGATGAGTTGTAGATGCTCTATAGTCCTCGCAAATTCACAGCTTGAGCTTCTGTTAAAAAACTGCCATTATTACTTTGGAAAACCAATATAAACAGCTGTATATATGTTAAATGTGGTTTGATCTGCTGTAGATCATGATATGAATACTGGCAATGGTTTTGTTTTGTTTTATTTTCTTGGCAGGTAAAGAACAAGAGCTAAGATACAAAGAAAACGCCCAAGAGCATTTACTTGCGAGTCAAGTCTCAGACATTGCCTATTTGAAAATGAAAAGAGAGAGTGATCCCGACAGAAACTTGTTGACAAAGATGTTGTATCAGGCCTCACATGGTTTATGTTCAGATATTCCAATCTTTGATCTCTAAAACTATTATCCCTTTCATCATCAAATTGTTTTCACAAGTAGCATAGATAAATAATATAGGAGCACCATTAAACATTTTGTGTTCAATGGTAGTCATTTTGTTTTCAGAAGTACAACGATAGAATTTTTGTTTATTCTAAGTTAAGTTCACTTAAGGGTACCTTCACTTAAAAAAGAATATCAAAGAATTCAGAAATTTTTTAATATTTCGAATAAAAAATTTCAAATAATTTTCAGTTCAGTTCCAATTTTTAGAATCAGAGTTACATGATATGTTTGTTATTTATGAAATTTAGTTCAATTTTAGTTATGTTTTTTTGATATGTTAAGTTCCTTAATTCCAGATAAATATGCACAAACTTATACACTGTTTCATGCAATTACAAATTGCAGGTCAAAATCTCTTGTGTTAATAAAGTAAAAATCATTGTAACTTTATGATTATTATTATGTCAGCTGATGAAATATCATTTTAGATTTTATATCACAGTTTCTATACTAAATGTTACTGCTTAAGGAACTCATGGGGCCATGAACATTGATCCGATCCTATGTCTTAAGAGAGAAAAAAAGGACAAGAGTAAGAGTTTGATGTAAGGCCTGAAGCTGTACAACGTGTCAAAGCCATGGTTATGTACAAATAAGTCCACTGATTTCTTCTTAAACAAGAAAACGAAATACAACCATTGAAAAACTTTAGTCTGTGATGTTGAAGTATCTTGGGTTTTCTGGGTAATGGTACTCCACATTCAACTGCAACAACACAAAGACGAACAAAATAAATGATTTAAAACTTAAAACGCTGGTCAAGAATCAGAACTCAAAATCTCTACCGTACCTTTCCTTCATCAGAATCTGTGTGGCGTTGAGGAAACACGACTCTCAAGTCGTTGTACAGATAGAACCTCCTCTTCCCATCTGAATCCAAGTTTTTCTTTTGCCCCGTGGTGTCGTCATCAGGTTTCTTTGAAGCTTTCTTGGGTAATGGGCAAATAAACCTCAGATGCAGAGCGTACCGTAGAGCACCAGAACCACCGTTACATTCTTTGGAAGATTTTAAACATCTTTTCTCACTTTCGTGTAATTCATCAAGTTTCTCATCTCCTTCCACTGAATCAGATCCTTCACATTCTGTTTTGTTCTCTTTTACATAGCTTCTGTCTTTTTTATTGTTCTCTTGCGTTGCTTCCTTTGTTGGATTAGATGATCCCAGAGTAACCTTTTGGCGCAAGAAAGTCTGTATAATACCCACAAAAGAAAACTAATGTTCAAACATCCTTTAACACCAGAGAGTTTTTTCTCAAGACCAAATGCTTTCCTAGAGGCTATACTATTAAACTCAATAAGGCTATAGAAGGTACATTATATCAATTCATAATGATCTTTCTTTCTTCAAAAAATAAATATAATTTGTGTTTGCTTTGAAAGACTAGGAGAAAAAAGTGTGATGTTTTATGTTCTATATATTACCTTTGTTCCGGCTGGCATATCAGTTAAGTCATAGTTGCAGAGGAAAGTGTGAAGAGGTGTTTTCTCAGGATTACTAAGAACCTGCACAAGAGCAATTCATACCATGAATATTTGGAACCTTTCAACCAACACTAAGATGAGTTTTTTAACCACAACATTTATAATGAAATAGTATCAATAATACCAGATGCAGAATGATAGAAGTAAAAATAATAAAGAGAAAGGAGATACCAGTTGAATCCGACCCTTCATGGGGATCCTTAGTTGGCTCTTGGAGGAGCTCTGAGCATCAAAGTTGATTTGACTTGTTTTCAACTTCGGGCTCCAGAATTTGTTCGATTTAGATCCTCCACCAAGATCTATGGAGGCATAATATAGCAAGACGCAATCATCACCAACACTAGTAACTGAGAATGGAAGCTTCTGTGATTTTGGAGATATGTCTCCCCCAGCAATACTAAGAACCGCAAGAAAACCGTCTATCTTCTGCACAGAAATAAACAACAGAAGTCATGTATTACTTTTCCACTCAAAGAGCTTTATATATGTGTAAGTACGATCAGAGTCTTAGATAAATACCTGATTTGTTGTCCCGCATGACAATCTTCCTGTCAATAGCGACTCCTCAAAAGAACCAACCAATGACCTCTGAATGGGACGCCCACTCAAGCTTCTACTGAACCTTCTGCACGGAGATGAAGGAGGCTCAACACCTCTCTCCATAGAAAATGCTCTCCTTAGAGCATATGCATCATCAAACAATCTACGGTCAATTCTTAATTCTGCTTCTTCACTGATATTCCTTAACTCTTCAACTATCTTCCCATTTTGGCTACTTCTTAAGGCTTTTATTCTCTCAGAAAACTTAGGACCAAGTGGAGAGAGAGAAAGTGGTGGAGAGGCAGATATATCCTTATCACAAGGTAGGGTCTTATTCGCATTTACTGGTGAATATAAGCAAACCTCACCTTTTGTTGGCCGGTGGAGGTCTACAGAGTCTAGCAACGGACCATCAGTGAAGACCATGGAGGAGAGTCTGCCACTGTTTGAGGAGTTCTTCCACTCCCAGCGAGTAGAAGTGGCTGTAGGAGTGGTGGAGAGATGCAACCTTCCAGCGAGGTTAACCTTTGTGTGATCTTGTGAGACAGAACCGGGGAGTCCATTAGAGAGACCAGGGTAAGTGATTTGCTGGTGATTACTACAGCTGATATCAAGAAGGTCCCCTCTGAATTTCACAGGGAAGAGAGTATTCAGAGGGGAGAGTACACGTTTCCTAACCAAAGCTCCACCAACATCTGCTCCTGTGACTCCAACAGAGGATGATAGAGAGTGATCAACAGAGACACTCGTTTGTTCATTGTCCAGTGAGCTGGTTTCGCTTGATGCAAAACCAACTATCCTTCTAGCTCCGGTTAGACTTGAACTAACCTTATCTGCAGCATAGCTAGTGGATCCATGAGAGCTACTAGATGAGGTAACATGGAATCTACATTGATCATCTGTGAGTTTCAGAGGCTCCAATGATGTTTTCCTATCAAACTCTCCAATGGAAGAGCAAATGCCTCCTTCGCTTCCTGTGTTAATTTCATCTGACTCATGGGAATTGCTATACAAAGGAAGACTTTGAGAAAGGCTGGAACTTGGAGCAGAAGAAGCTTCATGAGACTGTTCACTTGAAGCAGTCTGTGGCAGACCCATAACTAAATGCTCAAAGAGCTTTTTGACAAAAAAATAAAGAGTTGTGGTTACCTTGTTGAATCTCTAAACCTCCTACGAAAATCCTTGCAATGATAAAACTGACTACCTCTATAAATCTAATGGAATAGATTGAATCTAGAACTATGTAGTCACAGGCATCCACAAGTTGTGCATTGCTTGCCTACTAACCCGAATACAAGAAACCAAACACTTGAAATTTATTCGACAGTTGTTTATATCAGAGCGTTCTGGAGCTATATGGGATTTGAGGGCGAGGGATACAGAGTTCATTGCAGTTACACTTTCCTGAAAACGAATAAGATAGAGAAACAGGATCAATAACAAAGACAATAAAGGACATAGCCAAAGTTGTTTAGACAGACTCTTAAGCTTAAAGCGTAGTTATTAACACAATTGCAGAAATTTAAGGCTGACAGATTCCAGTTATAAGAAACGATAAAAACAACTCAAGATCCGGAAACATTTACCATAATAGCCAAACTATTATTTTAACTAAGTGTTTTTAAAGTTTTAATAAAGAATAAGAGATCAAACAATAGCTGCCATTCAGACAAAATATATTAAAAAAAAAACAGAATAACTTCAGCTAAACTAAAATCATCCTCACAATATTCTCTGTGTGAAATTTTCAAGCAGACATCATCACTACAAGACATGTATATTATATGTATTGAGCAAAAAAATATACAAATGATGGAACACAACAACATTAAAATCTTTTAAGAAAACAAAAGTGATCATGAACACAACATGATGAACCACGGCATGAAAAGTGATCACAAATCAATCTGATCAATAAATGCTTTAAAAAAAAAGCTTCCCGTATAAGACAAATCCCCAGAGAAAAAGCAGCTACATCGGAAACAAACACCATAAAACGCAACCACATAAATCAAACAAGGCAACAAACATAAACAGAAATCCAGAAAAAAGTCACAAGGCCATGAAAAGACGCACCAATACAATCTGTTTCAAGATGGAATCATTCACATGGATCGGTTAATCAGAGGATCAAACTGGAAATCGAAACGAAGAAGATGAAGAGAGAGAGAGAAAAGGTTAGAAAGAATCTGAGGAAGAGATGAGAGAGAGAGAGAGAAAGAAGCAGAGAGGTTTGTTGTTCCCCTTATCTTTGCGTCTGTTTATAAACAAATCCCAATTAACTCAGTCGCCATTAACATTTCTCATTACGTTTTGTATTCCTCGAGATACGATTTTCCCATTTTTATACATTTTCGATTCTTTTGATTAAAGAAGTAAAGTACAAGTTCGTCATGAAAAAAATACGCATTTCTTCTACTATGTATTTACCATTATTACCGTTTTTATTGTTTTACCGACACCAAATATTGCGTCTCCACCGAACAGACACAAAACTGGTTTTTCTTTTAAAAACAAATAAAATGAAAAAGACGATGAGACAAGAAAGCTGTTGGGAACTGAGATGAGCTTTTGTTTTCGCACTTTCTCTGTTTCACGTTCTTATCACTTAGTGGGCCATAAATATTAGGCCCACTTACTAGTGGATCAACTCATCAATTGAATAAGTCCAACATGTGATTGAGACGCCAAATGTTTCTCCTCCACCCAATGCTTGCAGCATCTAGTACTCTAGTAGTATAAACGCCGTAACACTATCCTTTTATGCAAAAAAGCCTAATATATATGTCCATGATATACAACAACATGATAAAGACCCTTAAAAAATTCGGGAAAATGGGCAATTAATTCCCCAAGTATTTGAAATCGGCAGTTTTAATACTCAAGTATTGCTCGCGCAGAATTATTTCCCAACTAATAGTTGACTGCGCGAAATTAGGAATGAAATAGTCAAACCGTTAACTGGTTAACGGAAAGATAACGGTTGACTATTTCGTTCCTAATTTCACACAGTCATCTATTAGTTGG